AAAAAAAAAACACACACACACAGAGGGAATAGAAGAAAATACTGTTGAATGATGATACCTGGAGGAGACTGTAATCATTGCAATGAAATGATGGGTGTAAAACCGATGTTCTCCCATGAAAACTATCACTCAACTCACAATAAAAGCTAAAAAAAAATTTTTTTTTTAAATCCTACGGGGCAGTTCTACTGTGTCCTGTGGGGTTGCTATGAATCAGAATGGACAGGTCTAAAGTCCTATATGGAGTCCTTGTGTGGCACGTTGGATAAGTACTACATTGCTAACCAGGAAGGTCATCGGTTCAAACCTACCAGTCACTCCTTGGAAACTCTAAAGGGTCATTATAGGTAGGAACCAACTCAACAGCACTTAAGAACAACAACAAAGTCCTATCTAAAGCAAGCTTGTTTCTTACCTTCGGTAACTTCTTGCATTCTTAACCTATTCAACCTCCTCTGCTGGTCTCTTAGCAGGGCTTGCTGCTGAATCTCCAGGGTCTGATGATCTCTTGGAGGATCCGGATACATAAGTCTCAGATCAACTCGTGTTTCTGAATCTGGTACAAGAAGTAAGCTGTTTAGCTAAATTACATCTTTCCATGTGGTATTTTATAAAACTTCACTACAAATAACATAAATAACCTTATTTCAAAAAAAAAATCAAGGAATAACATAAACCATGGACTTTAAATAGCCATATAATACAGAAAATAAAATTTTCTTTAAATAAATGCCTTTTCACAAATTTACTAACATTCTAAGGAAGTCCCCAGAACAAGCAACAGCTTGTGGATGCATCTCTATGCATCAGCTTTTCACTTTCCCAAAACACCACCCAAACACACAGCAGGGCAACAATACCCACATGCCTGTCTGTGAAGAAAAACGCCAATCACATGACTATGACTCAGGCATGCCATGAGACATGTGATCACAGTTGATTCTTAAACTATACTTAAAAATAAATAAATAAATAAATATGTTATTGGCCAATTAGTATGTTCTGCTCATTTCAAAATTATCTCATGTAGAAAGCACAATAAATGCAGATGGGCTGGAACCTTAGCAGGGATTTCATTACTGGAGGAAGGAAATGATGGTCGAAGAACTCAATTCTCCCACAAGTTCAAGAATATCAACTGATGAATGAGAACGGAAATGTTAAACATCAATTTTTTAGGTCTTGAAAATAAAAATATACTTCATACATGTAAAAAGTCTTGAGACTATTATCCCCTTTGGTCCATTAATAACAATCCTAAATATGCATATATTTTAAAGCATTAAAAAAATCAATATAACGTATTAATGAAAAATACATTATACAACTTGTATAACCTAAGAATTAGAAACTGGTCAACAGCAACATGTGGTAGTTAACAGAAAGGGGCTCCGAACACATAAACTTGGACTGGACCCCTGGCTTCACCACTTCCAGATTCAATTTCCTCATCTGATAAACCAAGAGATAACAAGACCAGAACAAAGCCCTAGTGATCTGCTGCTGAAATTTCAGGTCACAGCCTTGAAAACCCTATGGTGCAGTTCTACTCTGCACACATGAACTGGAATCAACTCCACAACAACTAATAACCACGGCAAGCATTAGGGAAAACAAGGCGAGAAGTTTACAGGAATTCTCTGGACTTCTGCGCAATGTCCTGTAAGTCCACAATTACTCCCTCCCCTCAGAAAAAAGAAAAAACAAAAACCAAGAACCTTAAAGAGCTTTCATTTATGTATCTCTCTCATACACACACACACACACACACACTCCATTCGAAATTAAAACAGAGACTATTATAGAACTTAGAGTACACAGTGCACATTCTGTTAGATTCATGGCATGGTGATGATGCCATTGCATGGCAGGTAGCCTCTGTAAAGTTCCATTGAACATTCATGAAAGAATGACAGTGAAAAAGACAGAGAATATTTTAGCTTATCGTAAAACTAGTTTTGTCCTCACACACCCCTGAAAGAATCTCCATGGTTCTGGATCAAACCCTGAAACTACTAGGTTAGTACAATATCTGGTACAAAGTAGATAATCAAGAAATTAAAGCATAAAAAATTAATATGTTGCTGTGTTGTTGTTTTAAGTGCCATCGAGTCAGCTGTGACCCAGAGCAACCTTGAACAGGGTTTCCAAAGGAGCAGCTGGTGAGCTTAAACCGCCAACCTTGTGGTTCAAACTGACTTTGCAGTCTAACACATTAGCCTACAGCACCACACCAAAACTCCAGAAAAATAACTATAGTGCATGTAATTGATGATAGTTGTAAATCTATGAAGAAAACAATATAGAAAATTAAATTAAAAAACAATGGTATCTTGTTTTTGTTTTGTTAATGCTCAGAAAAGAAAACTGATAAAAAAAAAACTAAAATGCTAATGGAGTTTATACTTGGGATACTTGACTAAAATGTTACTTTCTCCTCTATTAATATTTTCAAATTTTCTATAATAAATATATATTATGTTTACATCACTCAAGGACTTACTTTAAAAAGTAAGAAAAAATAACCAGAGTGCTCCTTGGAGGCCAAGATGGCCAAACTTTGTCTTTCATACTTCGGACATATTGTCAGGAGGGACCAGTCGCTGGAGAAGGATATCATGTATGATAAGGTGGAGGGTCAGAGAAGAAGTGGAAGACCCCCAATGAGATGGATTGGCCAAGTGGCAGCATAGATAGACTCAAGTGTGGCAACAGTAGTGAGGTTGGCCCAGGATCAGGCAGTGTTTCATTCTGCTGTGCATAAGGACGCTATGGGTCGATACTCACTCGATGGCACCTAACAACAACAATGACCAAACAGGCATTCTGGTGTGGTGCTGTAGGGTAAGCACTGGATAAGGTCAGTTTGAACCACAAGGTCAGCAGTTCAAACTCAGCAGGCGCTCCTCAGAAATGCTACACAGAGTTGCTATGGGTCAGGAGCGACTCAATGGCATTTAACAACAAAAAATGACTAAACCTGTTAAAGACTTGACAGCATAAGTCAACAACAACATATTTTCAGTCTCTCAGGCCTCATTGCATCTTGGTAATCCTGTCACCCTAGTAAGCTTTCTCCTTACTGCCTCTGAATAGTGACATTAAATCTTCTCTACTCTCATCCTTCAAAACCCCTAGATTTTCTTTTGCCTCCTTAGCATTCCTGCGTTCTTCAACAAGAACACCTTCCTCTCCTCTGTTACCTATTGTTCCAACTCAGTCCTGATCCCCAAATTTAATTGCCTTCTGACTCCATAATTCCACGCCAAAAGATCTATTGAGTTCACCAAAGACCTCTGGTACAACTGACACTTTCCAATATCCACCTCACACACTTTCCTCGATTCTCAAAACACCACTTTCTTCTTCTTCTCCTCAGTAACTCTGGCTTCTCTATCTCAGTCTTTTTCATAAGCTTATCTCATCTGTGCATCCTCCATTAAATGCCAGGTTCCATTCTTAACAGGAGTCCCTGAGAGGCCCCAACAGTTCAGCACTTGACTGCTAACTAAAAGATGAGAGGTTCAAACCCACCCAAAAGTACCTTAGAAAAAAGTCCTAGTGATATGCTTCTGAAAGGATACAGTCATGAGAACCCTCTGGACACACTTCTACTCAGAATCCACTCAAAGGCAATTGCTTTGGATTTGGTCCATTCTTTATACCTTCTATGTGATCTCACCCACCCACTCCCAAGGGTTTATAACAGCTTTACGCTCTCAAAGAAAAAGTGTTTCATCAAACTAAGAGTTTCATCTACCAGTCTGGTCAATTGAACTAGCACATAAAGAAGCTTTATGCATCTTTAGAATGTAGATCCTAAATGAAGCTTTACTTTATAAGAGGGTACAAACATCATTGATGATATTTGAATATGGATAGACTATTCGTGACATATCTTTAAAATTGCAGCACACACTCACCTTTATCTTTCAGCTCATTAAAGTCATGAATATTCTGAAAAGTGGTCGAGTCCACACCCTTAGGAGATGGTCGTCTGACAGGAGCTTGCAGCCGATGTCTGGCCATGTCAAATATATCCATGGGATTCCTCTCTCTTTTCCTATACATAAGAAATAAATGATGATAAATGTGTTTTATGGGAAGAAAATCTAAGTCACATTTAATTGATTTGCTATCATTTACCATAATATATTTATTCTAATAGCACTGCTAAATTTTTTATGGGATTATTTGTTTTAATATTTTATTGTGAATTGAGTGAAGGTTTACAGAGTAGATCATTAGTTCTACATTCAATAAGTCATTACAATGATTACAATCTCCTCCCTGTATCATCAGCTAACAATATTTACCTCTATTTGATTTTGTTAATGTACGCATACCACATTGAAAATAAATATGCATTTAAATGTCCAAAGGGCACATTTTGTAAGCTAGCCCCCTGCCCACAGGCACACTGCCTTTCTCAGTCCATGGGCCTAGAGTCCTCTGCTGTTCTATCTCTCTATACCATGGCCTCTGCCATCATCTCAGTTGTTAGCTCTGCTATTTTAATCCCTTATATTAAAAAGAGGGTATTTATAAGATCATTATCAATTTTCAAAAATACTCAGAAAGAAGTACCTTCTATAAAGAGAATGCTTCAGATTTACCTTAAAAATGTTCATGAAGTAGAAAGATCACAATCTTAGAGATCAGAAACACCTAAATTCAAATGCCAGTTCTGCTACCTATTAGATCTTTGGCCTGGAGTTCATCATCTGTAAAACTCAGATAATGTCTACTCCGACAGGATTCTTGTGAGCATGACAATAAAGTTAATTTATGTATTTTTAAATATCCAGCATAGTATCTGGCATATATTAGATTGTTGTTGTTGT